TTTTCCAACCTGAACCATTCTGTGGTTCTGTAATTCTTTTCCTCACTTTATATGCCAAAAACAGTTTTACCTTTCCTTCTGTGTTCTCCCTGTTCTCAGTTTCTTCTTGCTACTTACTGTCACATGAATTATCCTTTCATTAATAAAGCAGAGGGGGAGAAGGGTTACAGAAGATCAATATTAATCTGAATAAATGTAATGTAAAGCACATAGTGATCACCTTTGACTCCAGTGCTACTTAGCTTGAGTTCTAAAAAATTGAATCCCATCAGAAGCATGTTCTTGCTTTAACCTACATAAGTAGTCAAGTGCAGTATTAAATATGTGTTTAATGCAGAGGGATTCTTATTTTCCTAGTGACTCTTATTCTCCTAAAAGTGTGGTTTTGCTTTTAAGTTATGGTTGGGCCTGAGGAAGCAACTGAAGCTCAGAGATTTCTTTTGCATAAGGCCTTCCCAGTGCAGTGATGTTAATAGACTGATAAAATATTCCTGGTATGATAGCAGCTCTTAACCAGATGGCACCAATGCCAGTGAGACTTGCTCCCTGCCCCTTCACCAAGGAAAAGGAGCTGTTCTGAGGTGGGGGAAAAGTGTGGCAAACCACAATTCCATACAGAGGGGGAGGACCTTGCCAGGGCAGAAATATCGGTGGTGGGCACTTCTTGGAGTGGAAGATGTTGGATAGATATGAAGGCTTCAAATAGTAAAGAATATCTGCTTGGCTGCCCTGACTCCTTTTCAAGGTCTTGTTTAGTCTTCAGTGAATTTTATCACTGTAACCCCCCCACAGAGCCATCAAGGCAAGAAGCTGATAGCGCAGAGCAAGGCTTGGAGAAAAGGTGCATTTCACATGAGTTTGAAACTCTTGTAGTCCTTGCCTTGAAGAGCAAGAGTGCTGGGGAGTATTTGCTTTGCTGCAGCTGTGTTTCTGCATTCGCCTGTAGGTATGCTTGGGGGATCAGGAGGAGCAAGGAGATGTAGACACATCTGGGAAAAGAAGAAAAAAGGGGGAGAGGACAAGGCAGAGGGTGGTGAGTGGAAGAGGCTGTGGAAATTGCCAAAGGAGCAAGATTTAGGCTCTGCTCTAAAGTTTAACATCCATGTGACCATGATTTGTTAAGTACTTTTCTACATGTTATACTGCTGGACTCTACATTGACCAAACTAATTTGGGAGCCTTATGTACACTCACACTGTGTGAGGAGCTCATGTCTTTTGAGATATTTTAATAAGTACCTGAAACATAATGTCCATAAAGTACTCTAATTACATAACAAGGGCCTTAAATTTGTGTTGTGCACTAATTTGAAAATAAAAGTGGATTTCAAATTCTGGATTCTTATGGCTTATATCATATAAATTCATTAGTTCAAATATGTTAGCTAATCCAGTGAGGACCTGCAGTACTCATAAACAATTGCTGGCAAACTGTAATTAGCTATCTCTTTAGAGAGAAGGAGGACATGCTGCCAAGAAAGAGGAACTGTGCTTAACCATTGCACAGTGAAGAATCAATACTAGTGGTGTCTAAAAGAAGGAGGGAAGTCCTTCACAGTAGAAGATTCAGGCAACAGCATTGTAAGGAAATAAATGGATGACAACTGCTTTGATTTCCAACCTCATGTATTCTTAACCAGTCAAATCCAAACCAGAACTGAAAAGCAAGGAATGGATGCATGGAGACAAAGCTCAGTGTTTAAGGAGAGATCAGTCCTGAAAGAGAAGAGAAAGCAGGTCTAAGCCTGCAGGAGGGTGCTTCTCTCATAAAAGGCTTTTTCAAAATTTTTAAAATAGCCTCTTCAACTTAAGCTCAGTTGTGGGCTTATGTACTGGCTGGTTTGTTGAAATATTAGTCTTGTAGTTTCATTAAATACAATGCATTCCGTGTGGGTTTGATTAAGAAGCAAGAATAAAAATACAATGAAAATTGAATTCTGTCTTTAAAATACTTCATTACTCAAATTGTGTGTTCTTGGCTTAATGTTAAACATACAGTTCTGGGTTGGTTCACTTGTCTGAAACATGCTGTTTAAATTTTGGTGTTAAATATAATCATAATTGGGATGAGGCAAACAAAATGGGAAGCTGCAGAGGCAACATTTAGTGGTTGGATATGAATGAAGAAAGGGCATGGGCAGCATAGCTCAGAGTCTTGTTCACAGCATTAAATGATGAGATACTTCAGCATTATATGGACCACTTGCCATGTTTAGTAAGCAGCATCAAGGCTAGTGAAAGCAGGGAAAACTTGTATTGCAGCCTCAAGTTGATCTTTGTCTCAGTGCTTTGAAATCTTTGTGTCTAAGTTGTGCTAAATTGGCATCTTGTTTTAAGGATAGCGTCAAAATGCAGTTTTGTGTAATCACATTTTCTCTCTGACAGAAAAGAGGCTGCAGCAAGGTAGGGGTCAGTCTCCCAAGTGACAAGTGATGCGATAAAAGGAAATGGCTTCAAGTTTGCCAAGGGAGGTTTAGATTGGATATTAGGAAAAAAAAAAAATTCACTGAGAGGGCTGTCAGGCATTGGAACAGGCTGCCCAGGGAAATGCTAGAGCTGCCAAGATGTGTAGATGAGGTGCTTGGGGACATGGTATAGTGGTGGACTTGTCAGGGCTGGATTAACAGTTGGACTTGATGATCTTAAAGGTCTTTTCTAACTTAAATGATTCTATTATTCTATTATGCTCAGTTCTGATGTACAAAGGCAGATATATTGGTGACAGTCACTGTTTCAGTGTATGAGACAGTAAGTAGAAGTGCTGCTAGCTATGTAAAGCTTCCAAGGAAGTGTTGTTATTTTGTCACATTCAAAGTTATTGAATGTGAAAAGAAACCTAATAAAATATTTTGAACTACAAATGGATTTTATAGTCTCCAGACTGAAATTATTTCCCTGCACTATGGATAAAAAACATTTGTGAGAGGGCTTGCTGTTGGATCACAGTTTGCCAATTTGATGTTATTTATTCTGCTTCATAAACTGTTATTTTGGGGTGAAAAAAAGTTGAATGATATATGATTATCTAAATATATGCATATAAACACATATATATGGATGTAAAATATATGGTTTTAGATTTTGATGTTTATGAAGTTTTTTCAAGTGTGTAATATAGAGATCTCTTGAACATGGATATTGCATAGTCTAAAGGTACTTCACTGCAGACATTAATATGGCTGCTTTTTTGAGATAAGATTTTATTACAGGTAACAAGAGTGGTTGTATGCAGGGAAGGAGGGACATGTGTGTAGCACTGGGCAAAGAATGGCAGTTCTGCCAGCTTGGGGAATTTTTAGAGCAGAGAGCACTTGCAGCAATATATCCATCTAGTCCAAGGCACTGTATTCCCTTGAGAAATAGGGGGGAAAATGGGAAAATATGAAAGGATGTTTTCACAAGCATTGGGAAACTTCTCACGACCAGCGCTTACGGAACTTGGGATGTAAGCAGGGTTAATACTGTGAACCACTGGAATAGTGGGGAAACCCAGGGGTGGATTTGCCATCTAGTTGATGCAGGTTTTTTTAAAATTGCACAAAAAATTTCATCAAATAGGGAGTAAAAGTTAAATATAGAAGAACAAACACATAAGGGACATTTTGGGAGAAAGGCATGCAGCTAAATATTTTGGGTGCGTGGAGTATCAGAGTTTTGGAGATGCATTTTGGCTGTGATGTCTCCAACAGAACTGGTTTTGGAAAGAGTATTTGTATTTCCATTTGGCCCAATCTAGTAGGTTTTTTTTTGCAGGGAAGGGCTATACCACTGTTGCATGAATATCCTAAATGATAGAACTGGGGGACAACAGGAGATGAGTAGTGGCTCTGAGCAGGTTTGGATATAACAGCTAGATATAGATTCAAGGATGATAAGGTCTTGTTCAACCAAAACAAAAGGGTTAGAAGATGGGTGGCATGGAGACAGAGAGGAAGTGTGATGGTTGGACTTGGGGCACTCAGGGTGGTGATACAAAGCCACTGAGAAGAGTATGTAAGGAAGTTCATGTCTGATGTGGATGTTTGAATCATCCATTCCCAAGCAAGCCTGTGAAGATGCCAAGTATTTGTGGGAACCGGATCTTAATAAAATGAGTGAGGAGCTGAAGGCATTTATTAATAAAGACACAGTTATGGTACATGATGGTAAAAAGCACAAAATGCATCCCAGCCAGAGGGCCCGGGGAGTTCTTTGTGATAAAACTGTCAAAACTGGAGCCTGGTGGTTTAGGTGGTAACAGGAACAAAGTGCTGCTGCATTCAAACAGAAAAGCGACTTTGGCTTTAATCCATAAGCATGAAAATTTCATGGCTACTTGTGAACCAACATTATCTATAGTTTGGTGTAACTCATTCTTCCTGCTCACTTAAATGAACTGGAAAATACTACTTCTTAAATTGGCAAGTACATGATGTGCAGGTTGAATATAACTGGAGAGGTATTTACTGTTGCAAATGTACTGTCTAGAATATTTAACACAAGTGCTGTGGAGTAAATCTGAACCTAAATTACATGCTTACCATTCCCTCTCAGACCACATAACCTGTATTTTAGGGGGGACAGAGCATAGGCAGCAAGCTGGGCTGCAGCCCTGGAGCAGGTCTTACAGATGACAAATAAATAAAGCTGTCACCAGTAGGATGCACTGGCAGTGTGTTGCCCACAGCACTCCAGATGGAGGTGTCTTTGGACTTGTTGGGATTTCTTTCAAAGCCATTACAATGGCCATCCCCAAAATATTTTAGAGGAATGCTTGAAGAGTGAGTAAAGTTATTTAGGGGGTGGCAAACCTAAGAAAGGCTGGAGGCAGTTTATATTTACTTGAAATGAAGAAATAACCGATTGCACAAGCTGAAAACACAAGTGAGTTTCTATGCTTGATCTGTGTCCAAGCCTTCCGCTGAAGATGTGGACAGTCCATTGTGTATTAACAGTCATGGATAGTCCTAAGTGTTTGTGTAGGCTCATAATTAACATCATCCAGCCTTCTCCTGATAGAACTCGTTTGATAGAACTTGGTTTTATTCCTGCTTTGTACTGAAGTGCCAGACCTACTGTTGCAGTAGCCCTGTCTTTTAGAGGCTCTGCTCCTTTCACTTTGCTGAAGCACCGATGTGCAACATGCCAACAGGAGCTACTTACTGGGTTTTGGAGTTGGTGACTGGGCAAAGTTGGTGCCTAGGAAAAAGGCATTTCAATGAGGAACTGTGAAACAAGTGATATGCATCTTGTTAAATCTGCATATTGTCTTGTAGCCTGTTTAAAGTAGTTACAATTTTTGCTTTTCAGCAGTCATAGTCCCCATTCAAAAGTGCAGAATATTAAACACGACCTATTTTAATGTGAACACCAGAGGAAAAAGTAGAGAAGGCACCACAGGGGTTAAGCTGCTCACTAGCTGGAAAAGAAAGGAATGGTAACAGGTAACAGCCAAATACAAAATGACTGGTTTTGGCCTGCAGTGTTTTAGCAGAGAAAAATTTAAAAGGCGGGTGAGAAAGGCTCCGTGCTAAATACTTGCAGTAACAAGACAGTCCTGCACATGGCCATGGGCAAGATTGGCACCAAGAATCTTATCAGTCTTGAATTTGTGTGTCATACTGTCCCTAATGAAGAAATCCCTCGATATGCCAGAAATATTTATTGCTGATGCATCTCATAGTTTTCTTAACATTGCTTCTCAAAGTTGTTTTATGAGAGAACAAAGCAAAAATCTTTTTACTTTAGCACTTTCAAAACAAAGAGGTGTCTGCATTGTATTGCAAGTGTTCAGTTACTCAAAACTGATCCTCCCTGTGTTGACTTAATTTCTTATTATTGTGTTTAAATCAGTACAGCTCTGCCAAGAAGAGATGAATTGAGGAGTTATTTTGTGAAAAAAAAAAGGGTCAAACTTGTCTTTCTCAAGGAGATAGATACTAGACTACAAATGGGTTATGAAATGTTGCATAAGCCATTACTAACCACAGCCTAGCAAAAGGGGAACAATAAAATCTCAAATTCCCTGTCTGGATTTGAACTGTGCAATCAGAACAGTTTCTTAATGGTAGAGTTGCAGAGAAGACAAAAGAAACCCCAGCACTGATGAGAAAACAGAATGATCAGTTAGAAGGGTTTTGCTGACATAATTCAGAGTTACAGGGTTTATCCCCCCTCCTCCCCTTCTTTTTTACTTAAACTGGATATAAATCCATACCTGAGTTTCTAGATTTGAAATTATAACCACAACCCCATAATCTCAATTCCTTCATAGAAGGTTTTGTTCACTTTCAAAAGCTGCTATACAAAACAAAAGAAAAAAACACACTGCACATTCCAAAATAAATGAATCTTCACCTTTAAATATAAAGATCCTTAGCTTTAGTTATTTGTAGTATGATCATTATTCATCTGAGCTCATGCACCAGAGTATTTATAACTCAGAACAGAAGAAGTGAAAGACATCAGATGTAGAGAAATATCTCCTTCCTTAGCGTTAGGAGGATTTTGGCTGCTTCTGTTCATTAGTGAAGGTTGTGCAGCAATGCTCTGCAGTAAGTGACGTTGTGGCAGCTTGCTGCTTGGTTTTGTATGATGTAATGAAGGCCACCCTGAGAAACCAGCCTTTGTTTAAATGCCAGTCAAACAGGAGAGGAAGCTGATCCAAGTGCAGAAGCAAACTGCTTTTTGACTCACTTGTGTTTCTGATGCAGCTCAGATCAGAAAAAATATACATTGTGAGTGAATGACACCACTGTATCAGGGCCCTTCTCACATGTCCAAACACTGTGCTCCCCTCTGAAAATTCATTCTGCCCCAGATCTGTCGATGTGCAGCACCCCCTTTGGAGCTCACAGTCATGCTAATGGGAGCAGCATAGGAACAGCAGCAAGCAGTGTGGACAATGTATTTTCAAAACTGAACCAGAAAGCAAGATGAATGTGCTCATCCTCATGAGATCTATATACATATGTAACAGTATGATCCTACTTTGAGGAGGGTTTGTTTATTTTTTCACCTTAAAAATGTAACAAAGCGATGAACACAATAAACTGAACCACAGAGGACAGCTGAAACTCAAAGCTCAAAAGACAATTCTCAGGACTGAGCGTCCATTACCATTACTTTTGTTAATCTGCTCTGTAACTTCTTGCTTCATTTGTCTTTTAGATGGATATCTGTTGAACTGAGAAAAATCCAGTCCATGTTGGTGATGATGATGATGATGATGATGATGATGATAATAATAATAATAATAATAAAATCTACAAGACTCATAAGTAGTACCCCAGTCCTTCAGCAGTGGTACCATGAGGCCAGTTGGGTGTGTTCCCCCCCACAGTGACAAACTGCCTGTGGCAATGGTCACAATTTTGTACTTATGTACTTACATACAATGGTAAGTAACAAAGGCTTCCTAGTGCTGCTATGGAAATAACACCACCAGATCCTAGCAATAATAATGAACTCTTAAAATTAAAGTGGCTGTCTTCAAACCCAGATATCCTTGGCATTGAGCCACTAATCCTAACCAACCTGGCTTTATTTCGTGGTCAACCACTAATAAGAGTATTAAGTGAACATTAGCTGTTATTAAGCTCATTACACAAGTGATGAACTGCCACCTCTCCTCGCATTAATTGGGAAGGGACTGCTTCCTCAATTAGAAGTGTTACTTTATTACCAATGGCAAAATGCTGTAGGTGCTTTTCTTTCTCTGAGAAACCCCAGCAGAATTTCTCAGGGAAGAGTGATGTGAAGCCAGGGTGGCCTTTGTCAGTTTTCATGCTGACTCCCTCACCAGTTCTTGCAGAAGGTGATCAAGATCCTTCAGTAAGTCATAATGAAATTTGTGAAACTTGTGGGTTTGGCATTAATTCTGTTTGGCATCCACTTGTTCCCCAGAGCAGGAGCTGGGATTTATGGACCAGGCAGGCTCAATGCCTCGGTTCAACTGGGCTTGAGGATCAGTGGGACAAAGACCAGGCCTGATTTCAGTCATTGACCTTCAAAGGCCGTGATAGTTGTCAGGATCCATCAGTAGATGGGGGTACTGGACTCCAGCTGCTCAGCCATGCTCACCTCATGTCGCTAAGAGTACCATCACATCTCCCTCGCAGTCAGCCACTAGAAAAAACCCCTCTTCATATAACCTGACTGGAAAGACATCCTTGGATTAATTTCCTTCTTTCAACAGGCTCTTGAGGGTTTCAGATCCCTGAAGGGGCTTTACCCCATTAAATAGTCCTTGTAACACTTGCTATTCTTCACCTCAAGGCCTGTAAAAGTTACACTTTTTCAATTCTTCTACTGAACTGCTTCTGTCTCATAAAAAAACATGTTCTTCCCTATGGTGTAGAAATCCTCCCAGTAATTCCAGCCACTTGGCGCTGAGAACAAGAGCTAGTGTAAATATGTGGTGATATTGGTAAGCAGAGGACTAAGAACTGGCCTGCTGAAGCTGCAGAGAAAGACAACATAGGAGTTAATGTTCTTCTTATCTGGAAATATCAGCACCTGATAGGGATCATTTGAGGCACTTGAAACTGGTTCCATTTTGCAGAAACTCAAATTAGCAACCCACAGAGCACAACACTGAAGCAAATGGCTGCTTTCCTTCCAGGCTCTCCAACATAATTTGTGGAGAAGATGCTTTGCTCCCTCAGGAGGTCAGACAGCATATTTTCCAGTGAAACTCTAGAAATATGGGGAAAAAAAAAAATCTGAGAAATCCTTTGCTAGTGCCAGTATTTTAACTGCATTCTTGCATATACTGACTACTGGTTTTTCCTCATGGAGGAAAACATGTAACTTAAAGATCAGCCCTTATACTTTTCTATGGTATAGGAGAACTGAATTTGAATGAACTTCAAATTTAGCTTCAAGTAATCTACTTTGAATGTATTGCTAAGCTAGGAATTGCCTAGATATGATTAATAAATGGAAAGGAAGAATTTCTTGGGAGAAACATTAAATAACTACACTGCTTTCTTTTCCTTACAATTTATTATCTCAAAACACTTAGTGGTGTCTTTACTACCTATGACACTTTGTATTTAAGATTTTAATATTCTTCTAAAGAAGAGCTAATACAATGCATTAGCTTTTGACCATTTACTGCTAACTCTCAGTTTGGAGGGGAAAAAAAGTTAAGCAACCTTTTGCATACTGTAAATGATACAATTCATCATCCCACTCATACATGGTTTATGTGACTGCTATCATGTGTGCTGATTAAGGACACTGATCCGTCATTTCCTATGTTCCAGGTTGGCATGTGGCTCTGCATTAACTCATTCCTCATATGTCCTGGGGATGCACCCATCAGGAAAAATTCCCTGACACTCATTGAAGAGCTCAGAACACATTTGTTCTTGAGCAAGAAACATGCCTTAAATCTACGGACTGTGTGAACAAAGATTGCATGAAAACATGAAAAGCAGCTCTATTTTTAATAATGCCAAAAAAAATTAAGTTTAAAAATGATGAATTCTGTAAAGAGTGAAACAAATATGTTCAGGATATCCGGAGACTTCAGTCAGTGACCTGTTAACTGGAAATAATGGCTAAATTTCAGGAAATGTGAACTATGATTCAATTTGTTTATGCCTCAGGTGTGGCACTTACATCTTTTAATCATTACCTGGAAGCGTTGTTAATATTTTAAGACTCAACCTGTCCTTTCTGCATACAAAGCAGCAGATCCTCAGCTGCCACAAGATTTGTAACTGAAGAATGTCTGTAATTAAGAAACTTAGATGCAAGATGTAGTTTTATTTTTATGTCCACTTTTTGGTACCACATTTGGTATTTTGAGACACTAACAGGTCTGAAAGCCTGGCAGGGACCAGCCATCTCCAGCTGCTGGCAGAGCAGTTTCAATGCTTGGCCACAAGCTGGGGACATGCACAGCTTGGGCCATAGGTCCCTGGAGGCTGGAGCAGCATCTGCAGAGTTATTACTGTGTATGTCCCTCTCTGGATACTCAGCACCCTTCAGCCACCCCATGGATGGCACACAACCTTTCTGCACGTGGCCAAGGTCAGCCCCAGAGAGCTATCACTGCTATCAGATTCCTTGAGGCTGTCACTGCTTCCTTTTCCTGTCAGGGACCTTCCTCCCACAAAGTGATGAGGCCAATTGCTTTCCATGTCTCCAAAGAAATTATAGCAGTGAAGACCCTGCCTTGAACTCATGCCACTGTCATTGTTTGGAGAGCTCTGGCATGCTCCTTCCCTCTAGAATTCCGAACTGCTGCTTCTTTTTGAGGTTAGCTGTAGAAAATCAGTTTCACATAGCTTTGGTAGAATGCCTCTGTCCCCTATCTCCTCAGAGGGAGAGGTGAAGAAGCTGTAATGATATCCCACACCGGCATACTGGGTGTCATTCCCTAGCCCATGGGGCTGGGACTGTCGAGGACATGGCAGGGTTTGGGACTGGAGTTGGGTAAAATATATAGCCATAAAGAGTTGTATGGAAAAGAAAAATAATTTTGGGATAAGGTATCCCCCTGTAGGTTATCAGTCTGCATGGAGATGAGAGCTCTCACCAGACATCATGAGTGCCTGGAGCTAGTCTGGGTAATTTTAACTAAAAAAAATACAGATATTCTGTAAAATCTTCTTTTTTCCCCAGAATTCAATTCAGGGACACTCCATAGCTATTGAGAGTAGTTACTGCCTTCATATGAAGACCTTTTTTATGCATCTAATAGGGGCTTGATTTTTGAAATAAGTTCAACTTGATTAATTTCTTTCCTCTGTGGGAAATGTAATTTCTAAGCCACCCTTATTTTGGTCATTTATCAGATCTCAGCATCCTTACTATCTCATAGTGTTGCTTTTATGGAAATACTGCCTAGAAAATGTTAGGCAAAATTAGTTAATCTCATCTAAATGCATTTGGCATAGGGCTTTGCTTTGAAGCAATTCTTAAAAAACTACAGTTTTATAATGTAAGTGGCCAATTTTTCATCTAGCTCTGCTAACTGGCTTGTTTATAAAATGAAGAGGTTGTCATGACCCCCTAAGACAAATCAGTAATGCAAAGTAATGAGTGCTGGCATGAAGCAGAACAGTTTTCTGTTGGGGAAGAGAACTTCATGGGGGGCATGAGTCTGAGGCACTTCGTGGGGCATCAGTGGGGCCCCGTGGGAGCAGGGGCTGGAACAGGACTGAGGGTGTCACAGCAGCAGTGCTGGCACCAGCAGATGTGATTCATGTCCCTCAGGCACCACCATGCTTGGGGGTGAAGGCTTGGTGTCCTGGCTTCCTGCCAGATTGAAAATTGCTGAACCCCCTCAATACTGCCCTCAGTGTTTAAAGAACAGGGGATGAACCATCAAAGGGGAATACTACAGACTTAACTGGATGAAAACTTTCTTGTCTCTTGAGTGTATCTGTTGGAATATTTTGTAATCAATGCCCTGTATCTTTTACCTCTCTTTCCTGTTGCACTGATAAGAAGTATCTTGGTGTACATGTGAGAATGGAAGGCGAGCACTTCAGGAGATTTTGAAGGATGCATCCCTAAA